GAAAAAAAAAAATCATACTGCACGCTCAGTCACAACCGGACCTTATCCATTTTCTTTGGTCTTTTTCATAGTATTTTAACATATATAAGCCTTTTTTTTTGCATGGTTTTTCTATGTTTTCTCTCATCTTTCAGTACAAGAATAATGGTGTAATAGTGCAAATAAGTTATATGTACATGTAACAGCAAAATTCTAGAAAACTGTTCATTTTTATGCAGCTGTTTACGTTTTTTGTCTCCAGGTTGGTGTGGGTTTCACGTTGCAGTTCTTCACAATAGACGGTGACCTCTGTCTATGGTATGTGCCACCTTTGAACTGACATACCAAACAAACTTCTCATGTGATAATCAAGCCCACCGAGACCTTCACCTCCCCTTGACATGTACTTCCCTGCTCTTGTTATAGCAGTCACGTCCATTAGCTGGAAATCTTTTAAAGGTTTTCAGAACATCTATTTCAACTCTTACATAAATCACTCACACGGTTGTTTATACTTTGTGTGGGTTTTTCAAGCATTCTCTACATTCCTTTAAGTCCGAGCACCTCACGGTTCGGTCTGATGTGACGTCCCCTCGCGAGCCCCATGGGGAGGTATAGAAAATGTAAGCAGAGGCAAAGATGGAGTAGTCTGATAAGCTGATCTATCATCTGTGAAAGATGTGTGAATCACTTACCGTAACTAATGTCAGAACAGGCCACACCTGACGGTTGTTCATTTTCTATTAAGATGCAGCACCACAAAATCAATATGGTATTTCTGTGTTTTGATTTATTTGTTCATCATTCCTTTGGTCACAGTTGACTTCAGATCGAGGTGATGATTATGTGTTATGATAGTGTTGAACATAATAGATACAGGGCTGGAATGCAGTTTATTAGTCATTTTGTAAAAATATTTTTAAGATTCAGCTGATTCACAGACTCGCACTCATACTTATTTTGTGAGCCCTGAACAATCAGGCGCCTTCCTCAGAGGAAATAGTTTGTGTTTTTTTTTTCTACACTGAGGGCATCTGAGTCATCTTGGGGTCCATAAATTTCAGTTATCCAGAGAAATAATCTTGGTTAACAAAGGTTCATGCATCTTGAAATTTAGTCTCCATAATCTAGTTAATTATATATTTAATTATAATTATATTAATTACTAAATAATATCAGAGCTTTCAAAGATGTGATCTCCATCCCTCTGGAAATATTACATTACAACATAATTGTAAGTTACACGTTACATACTGCTTCATGAAATCTTACCTCTACATGCATTTTTGACATTTTCCATCTGAAATTAGATCCTTATTCTCTTACATTGTCGTCAAGACTTCACTTTTCACTTTGTAAATCTGCTGAAAATTCATTTCATTCTTTTGTATTTTCATGTTGGAGAAGATGATAGTAGGGGAAAGCATAGGCATAGAAAGCATAAAAGGTTCATCAGCTGTGACTAATAGGACGTGACAAAATGGCAATTAATAAATGATTTATTATATCGGTTTTCAGCCATCAAATTTGCCATTTTAAATGGTAGTAAGTCATTACTAATGCCAGTGGATCACCCGTCTGCTGCAAAGCTATCAGTTCACCTCAGCAGGAAGCACACTGCTTTTAAAGGGACTGAAAGGAACTGATATGATTGACTGTAAATGATGCCAGTCTTGACAGTATACTGTTTGGCTCCAAATCCCATCATACTTTTGACTGTGCTGCTTGTGCACTGCACACTTCCCTCCACGAGCATACCAAACTTTCACCACTCCTGCACTCCCACAATATATTTGATGTTTCCGCTGCAATACTCAACACAGTCCTGAGGCCACACCTGTACCGGAACTTTTTGTTCTTGTGCTAGCATGATAGCTGCAATAAAGGAGTCATAAATATGTGTTGCACTTATTTGTCTCAGCTCTGAGAAATGGTTCACTATCCACCTCGGCTGTGGATGAACATTGATGACTCCAGTTTGTGTGTCACTGCATGTAGCAGATTAGAGGTAGTTGGCCCTCATTTATAAACTGGTCTAGTTAGTTACTAGTTTAAGGCAATGCCTTAGTTATTGTCATAGTAACACCGTAACTGAGTTACTTAACTTAAGGTCAAAAACAGGGTAAACGTAAATAGGCCTGGATTATTTGGCAGTCTTTCAAAGTATTGTGTAATTTATACTCTTTAATCTTATTTCATTTCTCTTTTGATTCGGGGCACGCTCTGGTAAGGTTGAACAATGATATGGAAGTGAAACAGTTTTTCTCTACATTTTGCATATTGTGTTCGATGCCAAAAAAAAATTTCCATTTTCCTTCTCCTATGCTGTAGCGCTAATAAAATGCTTCCTGTTCGCTACCACACATCCGTCCGGACATTAACTCGATTATCAGACAAATCGGGTAAACTTGGGTCACTGGGGAACTCAGGTAACTGAGTTTAATCACCATTTCCATAAATAGGTTATTCACAATAGCCCCAAGCACTGTATACTGTATATGCATCAACAGCCCTCTGCATCAGAGGTACATCACTGGCTTCATCTGCAGTTCATCAGGCTGGGTTTAATGCTCACGTTAACATGTCAATCTAAACATGTTAGTGGCAACATTTACAGCATGCAGCAATACTGATAGTGTCTCAGAGTGCAGGCCGATAGACTACAGATAAAGAATTGCTTAAAACAGCACTATAGTAAGAACTTCACTTATTACTGATGTACAGTTTAGTGGTACATGTACTTTACTTTCCATTTTCTACAACTCCAATACATTTAACAAGGAAATATGGTATTTTTGTGTATGATAATATTAGCTTGACCGCTATAGTAAGTAGTTACTTTGCAGATACGGATATTTTATAAAAAAAATTTGTTTATAAAATATGATAAAGATGCAGTGTTACAGATTAAAGTGCACAACAGTACATGAAATAACAAAACCAGCTTCAGATAAAATATCAAAACGCTTGTTAGAAGTTTATGAACCAGCACTAATAACCCAATATTGTAATGTTTAATAATATACCTCTGACATTGCTTTATTAATATTTTGAATGCAAGACTTTAATTTGCACTAAAGTAAAGGGTAAACGTCAAATGAGACATTAGTATGCCCGCTAGCACCTCATTGTTATGCAGTATACCTTACCTACAGTATGCTCAAAAGAAACTGTATTTTGAGCAGGACTACAGAGGATATGCCATCATTCCCTACTGACAAATGGTCCTTATCTACATCCTGTTCTTGGGCAGCAACGCACACTAAAGGAACATACAAAAAACTGAGCTCTAGGTGTGTCCCAGTCAAAAATTTGATGTGGTATAATCCGAGAGTCAAAACAGGTATTTTTATGATCAGCCCTTTTCCCTTTTGCTTTTAAACGTAAAGTATCTTGAGGTCTAAGTTATAAAATGTAGGCCTAATAGAATAAATAAAAAATATTTATAAAATAGGAAAAATTAAAAGTCTGCTCTTAGCCATATACTGAAGTTCAGATGATATTCAGAAGTTATTGAGCCAGTGGAATTGGGGACTGACAGTCACCAGTAGTTTTCTTTAGCCTAGTTTTCATGATGTTGCGAAATATCCTTAAGCAATGTTGCCTGCATTTGGCCCCATCAGTGTCCACATTACTGTAACCGTCATGAATGAAGCCCGTAAGAGTACAAGCTTAAGACTGAAGAGTTCAAAAGGTCTTCAATTTGTTTAAAGACAGAACACCTCCCCTCATCTGCCTCAAAAATTGTTTCTAAAATATGTGTTGCAATGACACAATCACAACTTGATTCATTCTATATATACTGTAAATCCCACAAGCTGGGTCAGCATCTAATGTTCCAGTTGCATTATAAATTGTGCACCAAAGGGAAATGTGTTTTTTTTGTGGTATCACAGCTAAATTTGTTTTATTTGAATCAGACTTTTGAATGTCTTTGGAAATAAAAGTGAAAAAAAATCAACTCATTCACGTGAGAAAAGATCACACAGACAGACATGCAAACACAGTAGCAGCAAAGCAAATTCCATGACAGATTTTGCTGTGGCCTGTCTGCTGTTTGTTGTCACACCCCCTTGAGTTAGGGATCAGGTGCAACAAGCAGCTCATTTCTCAGAGTTGATGTTTTACCCCAGTTCCTCTTCTTGCTTTACAATACATAATAATTAATAATTATTTAGCAAGCATCCTTTCAGTTAATGAGTTAGTGTTGCTCCATCTACAAGAAACGTGTCCCATTTCTAAAACAAATTCTCTTTGCACTTTAAAAAATAAATGTGTTTATTTTGTGACATTTTATTTTGTTAGTTTAGGTTTCTAAAAACCTCCTTTGGTTGTCCTCATTTGCTTCTTTTGGAAGTTGCAAATACCATTTTAAAATCCCCCCCCAAAAAAAGCTTGTTTTTATTTGTTTGTAACATTGACAATAAATGCCTTATGTTTTCGTACTCCCAACCTTTTTCTTTGACATGTGAGGTGTCATTTGGGTGGTCTTGTAAAAGCTTGAAAAACCTTTTCTGTGTAAGGAAGGGTGAGACCTGAAATGACTGTTCGGGAGTTGTCTGGCTTCTTTCTGGCCCTCCCTCATGTGCTGTCAGTGATCTGTGGTATGATTAAGTCCACAGGAGCAAAAAGCACAGTTGTGAAAAAAAAAGATAGCTAAAACCACAAACATAAATGGAATAAATCAAATTCAAAATGTTCATAATTCACATGGATTTAAAGGAAAAATATTTTCCAATTGAAAACTCACAATAAGAAGCACTGCTGTACAACTGAGTGAAAAATTTACCTTTGGTTACAGCTGGTTTAGGACCTTGTTCTGTAATTTACAAAAGTCCAAAGACCAGAAAGTGGTGCACAGGGAGGTGCTAGGAGAGGGGCCGTAGGACATAGGGAGGAGGAGGGAGGGTGAGGGAGCAGAGGGAGGGAAGTGAAAGACCAGTCTTTTGGATTCCTCATTAATTCAGTGTGGCCCTCTCTTTCAGTTTTTTAAAAGCCCGCCCACTGACCATTATCAGCCCAGGCCTTATATATGCAGCTTGTTGCTGTTGTTTGTGAGTACAGACACTTTACAGAGGACCAACCCAAACCCACAGCCAGACAGCCACTCTGCCACCACCATGAGAGAGTTCAAGAGCAAAAAATTCTGGAGGGCCGTTCTGGCCGAACTGGTTGGCATGACCCTTTTCATTTTCCTTAGCATCGCCGCAGCCATTGGGAACCCAAACAACCAAAACCCAGACCAGGAGGTGAAGGTGTCTCTGACCTTCGGATTGTCCATCGCCACGCTGGCCCAGAGTTTAGGCCACATCAGTGGAGCCCACCTGAATCCTGCAGTTACCCTCGGGATGCTTGCCAGCTGCCAGATCAGCGTGTTCAAGGCCGTCATGTACATAGTGGCCCAGATGCTGGGTTCAGCTCTGGCCAGTGGCATTGTATATGGAGCACGTCCAAGTGCCATTACTGCACTGGGGCTCAACTCTGTAAGTAAAACCTCTCATAATGTTGTTACTGATGTGATGATTTGTCATTTCAAATTGGGAGCTCTCACACTGCTAAGAAATGTGATGCACAACAACATGATGCAACAGTATGTATTTAAAGGTCCTTTGTAGTCTAATGTTGACCTCACAGTGAAAACAGAGACTTTTGTGAGGATGTAAGCACTGGTTTGGCACTGTTTGTGTTGTTCTTTTGACATTCTGTCATTGCTTGTTATTAAATAGTGATGACACATGTTTAAAGCACACCACGCTGCAACAGCTTAAAGAATTTGCAGATAAAAACATGCAGCGTCAGTTTATCCTCAGTTGTAAATTACATACATACTAAAACATGTTGATGCTACAATTTTGTTTAACCTATATGTAATGAGTTATGTCATTCAGCTGTATTCTTACTCAAAAGCTAAAGACAGGCGAGACATGACATATTTCACTATGGAGAAACACACACACACGCACACACACACACACACACACACACACACACGGTGAGCTACAGCTAAATGATACAGAATAACAATGCTCCGGTTTTCCACAAATAAAAAAAATGACTAAGCAATGTGACTCACTGCCAAATCGCTGTCATACTTCCAGGGCAATGCCAACTGCTAAGTGGGAAGTGGTCGTGATGGGAAGCTATCCATCTAACTGACACTGACTGACAAACTCTTGTTGTTTTGGATTCCTCTCTAACTCTCGCAGCTCAATGGTGTTACTCCCAGCCAAGGCGTTGGCATCGAGCTCCTGGCAACCTTCCAGCTTGTGCTGTGTGTCATTGCAGTCACTGATAAAAGGCGGCGTGATGTCACCGGCTCAGCACCCTTGGCCATTGGCCTCTCGGTCTGCCTGGGACACTTGGCAGCTGTAAGTTGTACCTTACAACCATCCCCAAAGCACTGTAATGTTTATCTAGGATTAGGCACAGTACATTTGAGCAACACAAAAATCAGCAGCAACCATGACAGAGCTCTTGGGGTGGAATAATTTCATGCATTTTGACTGTTTTTTGATAACACCCCTCCCCCCTGCCAGACTCGGTTACACCACCAGACCATGTAGCTGAAGATATCCTCTTAAGTTGCCTCTTTGTTGTTGATTACAGATCAGTTACACAGGCTGCGGCATCAATCCGGCTCGCTCCTTTGGTCCGGCTTTGATCCTGAACAACTTTGAAAACCACTGGGTAAGTCAAAGAGGGAAGCAGACAAGCACTTGACGCATGCCTCACATTTTTCTGCATGCATATTACACTATGTCAAGCTTAAATAATTCAAAAGCTCCATAATAGACGGATGACTCCATTACCTAACTTGTCAAGTTAATGAGTTATATCTTTCCTTTTGTTTCACAATTAGCCCGGCTGATATTGATAAAAGTAAACCTTTTGAACCAGATTGCTATCTTTGTGTTATCCGTGTTATTTCTTCCTGTGATAACGCTGGTTTGCACATGTCTGGTGATAACAAATACCGATCCAGGGATTGATCAAAGTTTCTCATTGCAGGTGTACTGGGTGGGGCCAATGTGTGGCGGTGTAGCAGCAGCTCTCATCTACGATTTCTTGCTCTCCCCGAAATTTGATGATTTCCCCGAACGCATGAAGGTGCTGGTCAGTGGTCCAGTGGCCGACTATGATGTTAACGGAGGCAATGAGACTACAAGTGTAGAGATGACATCAAAGTAGGGCTATGAAGTCACAGCCATCTAGTGTCCTTGTACATGTCTATACTCCCGTAAAACAAAGAATTGGATTTAGTGTAGGATGCCAGACTTTTTTGTGCCCTTTTTGAAATACCAATGAGAATTGTGATGACGGGGTTAGTTAGTGTCTCATTCTAATTCACTCCTTTGTGTGACCCCCCACACACAATTTTTATCCAAACTGACGCTCAAACACATAAGTCAAGGTTGTGGATATTTTGACGGCGCAGTGTGTTGAATTTATTTCCCATATCAGTATTCTATATGTTGAGCCATGTTTTTTTTTCTTTTGTATACATATTTCTATGTGCCTGTATCACTTTTTATTTCTGATGAATAATGTATTGTGTGTACACTCTTGAAATGTCTCTCACTTTTTTAAGTAAATAAAACACTTGTTGTTAACAGTTGTTAATCTGTTCCTTATTGTTATGTAGACACCAAACGGTAACAGTAAATATTTGGTATCTGTCGTATGAACACTTACTTCCATAATCAATGTAGGTAAGTCCTCTGTGCATTGTCTATGCTCCCTGTCACCTCCAAGTTCCCCTCAAAGTACAAGGTAGTCCTTTATTAGTCCCACAGTGGGGAACTTTGCTGTGTTAGTTGTGTTCAGTACTAAAACAAAAAAGCTAAATAATAACAAATGCTAAAAATTAAAAAAAAGAGAAATAATAGATAATAAGGTATTTTCAAATAGATTTTAAAATATATCAAAATTAGCTGCAGATAATGGAGTGTGTTTATTATTGCACATGGTGTGTCAGTTTTTGGTGTGTGTGGTGTACTGAGTGTAGTGTTTGTTATGCAGTCTGACAGCAGCAGGAAGGAAGGACCTGCGGTATCTCTCCTTCCCACGCCACGGGAGCAGCAGCCTGTCGCTGAAGGAGCTGCACAGTGCTGTCACAGTGGGTTGCACGGGATGGAAGATGTTCCCCAACAGGAATAGGATAGCTTAGCCATCATTCTCCTTTCACACTCCTGTCACTACCTTCATTCAGTTCAGGGGGCCATATGGAGGTAGATTTGTTTCAATATTATTTGTGTGAACATATCAACAATCCGTGCTTAAATGTGTAATCTGTAAATATAAAACACCGTCCACAAATACAAAAAATAAATTGGAAAAACTGTGAATACATTCAATAAAGCATCATAGTATTGTAACACATAAAAAGTCATAGTAAGGCATAAAAACATTATGCTATAGATCATTCTATACTCATTGTAAAATAAGGCATTAAAAGGTCATAGTATAGTAAGGTTGAAACATGACATAGAAGTACTAAAAAGTCATAGTGTAATAAGGCATAAAAAAGTCCAAGTATACTAAGGCATTGGAGTTGCTAAATAACCTAATGTGCATGTCTTTGGATTGTGGGAGGAAGCTGGAGTACCCGGAGGAAACCCACGCAGGCATAGAGAGAACATACAAAATCCACACAGAAAGGATTTGAACCCAGAATCTTCTCAGTTTGAGGCAACAGTTCTACCCACTTACCACCGTGCGGCCTCATCACAAAATCATAGTGTAGTAAGGCATAAAAAGTCATACTATAGTAAGGTATGAAAAATATAGTATTGTAAGGCATAAAAATGTAATAGTATATCATGGTATAAATATGTCATAGTATAATAAGGCATAAAAAGTCATACAATAGTAACTCATAAAAAGTCATAGTATAGTAAGACATGAAAAGTCATAGAATAGTAAGGCATAAAAAATCATAGTATATTAAGGCATAAAAAGTAATAAAAAGTAATAAAAAAGTCATTGTATAGTAAGGCATAAGTGATGTTTGACTGTATATATGTGTGGAACACCGTGGTATATAAGACACAGCTGGAGGTCCCAGATAGATTGATGAATGTTTGTGTTTATGTATATGGTTAAAGCCCCACAGATGGAGAATTATCTCAGGAGCTCTGAAGAAGGACAAGTAACCGCTAAGAGGCACTACGGACGTGAAGATCTCCATATCAACATCTGCTTGTCACACACATTGGACAGCAAAGGATCAACCAAGCAGTCAAACTTGTGTTACTCAGAGAGACACCTTGCTGTGCCTTGTACCATATCTGTCCTTCGTGCACAAACAAAACCAGCTATAATTAAGTGTTGACTTGTCAGTCTGATTGTGTTCACTTTTCTATCTTTCTGTCATAAGAAATAATCTTTTCAGTAAGTGATAAAAATGCATAAAAAGGACATAATTAAGCGAGGCATGAATAGTCATAAAAACCTGATAGTATAGTAAGGCATAAAAGAGTCATAGTATACTAAGGCATAAAAAATTATACTATAGTAAGGCATAAAAAGTCAAAAAAGTCGAAGTATAGGATGGCATAAAAACTGGGAAACCATGCAATCTCAACGTAGTCCCTTGTCCAGGATTTGAACTCAGAACCTTCTGACTGTGAGGCAACAGTCTTATTCAGTGCACCATCATGCTGTCCTTTATTTGCAGTGATAGTATACTATGGCATAAAAAGTCATAAAACATAGTATAGTAAGGCAAAAAACATCATTTTATGGTAAGGCATAAAACGTTATAAGAACGTTATAATATACTAAGGCATAAAAAGTAACAAAAAATTATACTATAGTGTGGCGTAAAAAGTCATAAAAATTACCATAGTACAGTAAGGCATAAAAGTTCATCAAAACTTCATAGTGTAGTAATGTGTAAAACGGCATAGTATAGTAAGATAAAAAATGTCATAAAAATATCATAGTATAGTAAGGCATAAAACATGCAATTTCTACATAAAAGGGTCCCTGGCCCAGGACACGAACCCAGAAACCTTTTGACTGTTAGGCAAATGTCTTATCTACTGCACCATCATGTTGCCTTATATTCAATGTCAGAGTATAGTAAGCCAAAAAACGTTATACTATATTAAGTCATAAAAAGTCATTAAAACGTCATAATTTATTAAGGCATAAAAACGTCATAGTATACTAAGGCATAAAATGTCATAAAAATGTCATAGTATAGTAAGGCATAAAATGTCATAAAAATGTCATAGTTTAGTAAGTCATAAAATTTCATAAAAATGTCATAGTATAGTAAGGCATAAAATGTCATAAAAATGTCACAGTATAGTAAGGCATGAAATGTCATAAAAATGTCATAGTATAGTAAGGCATAAAA